TAGAGTATAGGAATAAGGCTGATGTTTCTGAATGGGGTTGAATTCACTGGGACAGCTACGACATGCCTTAAAAGGTAGTTTATTGAGAGTCAATCGCGATTAGATTATCGGCCGAAGAATTTATATTCGAACATGTATGGAAATGAGACTGAAGTAATGTGATATGCTACTGAACTTGGTCAGACATGTTGTAAGCAGTTCCCATAACACATATTAAAGACATAAGCTCGTTGACTTGTCCATGAAAGGATAATGATTATTCTAGCTATGACAATTAAGAATTACCGAACCTCTTCAGGCATAAGCTTCAGGGGGGCATAAGATATTTCGATTCTAGGTGTGTCGAACTTCCTAGAAGAGAGCCTCGACAACGGCAGTGTATGCAGCCTTGGGCTGGTAGCTCGAGTCGAAGAGTAGCGGCGAGCTCTTAGATTGCCAAGAGTCCTGGCGAAGGTTAGCTTTGAACACAGATCATGGTAATCAGAATACGCACAGCATCGCTCACACCCCACAAGGTAATGCCGACACATTGCTCGACGGCCAGGCAGGCATTCGTGACCTTCACGTACTCGTCGGATGGAGCGTTGACGATATCTAGCTCTGTGATGGCGAGTTCCTCCACACCGGTAGTGGCAAGTTTCTCAAGGCCGGCCTGCATACCAGCAGCGGTCGGGTTGCCGCCTCCAAGATGACCCTGAATGCCGATACCGTCGATAGGAATGCCAGCGGCGAGCCACTTCTTGACGTGCTCAAACATGCCCGTGGTGGTCTTGGCAGATGTGCCGCTCTCGAGATGGTAATCGTTGATGTAGAGCTTCGCATCCGGGTCCGCCTTACGCGCGGCCTCGAAAGCGATGCGAACAAAGTCCTCGCCAAGAACCTGGGTGAAGACACAGTCACGGAGGGTGCCGTCCTCATTGAAGATCTCATTGACGACGTCCTGAGTTGTCTGCATTAGCACATATCTCTTATTCCTCGGGAGTCAATACCCACCCAAGCGCGAACTTTGCCCTTGTATCGCCCGACAATGGTGCTGATGTGGTTCTCAAGGACGCTTGTGAGTTGCGTCTTATCGGTGATGGCCTTGACGTAGTCCGGCAGCTGCTGGTACCAAAGGAGCGTGTGGCCACGGACACTCTGGCCGCTCTGCTGGGCGAAATTGACGAGGGCATCAGCACCCCCGAAGCTGAAGCCGCCACGGATTGGTTCAATCGCATCCCACTTCATACTATTCTCGGGCGTCAACTGCCCGAAGTCCTGCTTGATAATAGCAGCATTTTGGGCCTTGGCCAAGGTACCCGAGTCGGCTGCCGTGCCGTAGTAAAGCTTTCCCTTTGCCTTGAACAATGCGTCGATGCTGTCAGATGAGGAACCCTTTCCTGGAGTTGAAGAAGGGGTTGCAGTTGCGGAAGAACTCGCGGAGTGGGTGGCCGGTTGGCTGACCTGGCTGGTAGGAAGACTGGTAGGAACTGTAACGGACGGAGTTGCCGAAAGGACTGTAGTAGAAGGTATAGAAGCGATCGTAGTTGTTACTGTAGATTGGCTGCTTGACGCAACAGTGGAAGAAGCGGCCGAAGAGATAGTCGGCGAAGTCGTCTGAGGGCGGTGGCCCCCACAAGGACGGGCGACGATGCCCATTGGGCCAAGCAGGTAAGCAAGCGTTGCAGGCTTCATTTTAGCGAGAGTGAGATAAGAATAAAGAATGACACCAGTCAGTTTAGAAGTAAACGATTGAATTAGTCGGATTGCAATGTAATGAACGAATGTAAGCGGCTGAGCCAAAAGCTGAACCGTAATGCCAGCGAGCAACCTTTCTTCGAGACAGACGAAAAGAGAACCACCTTGGTAAACTCACGATCGTGACTCCGGCGGTGGTTCGGGCAGCTGAGTATATAAGACCGGCTGGCCCCCAACCCAGAGCCTCTTTGGAGGCTTAGACATGCTTAATCCGGAACACGTTACCGACCAGTGGGCGCGACCAAGGTGGCATCCAGGTAAACGGCGGTTGTGAGTTTCCTAAAAAAGGCATTTTGTTTGATGATGTTCCATTCGCATCGTTCTAGCGTCTGCTAGTCAAGCAAGAAAGATTCGGCGCTACATGAACGTATCCACTTCGGATAGCGACCGAGACTAGGATGGTGGTGAGATCTCTTCTGACGCACATATCTACACAACTACATAGTAATGGGGCACGATACAGGGTGAATCCCACATGTCTAGGAACTGAGAAGGACAGTGAGAACGTCGCCTAGTTGTTGAAGTGAGTAGAGACCATCGTGTGCCTAACAGCCGATTTCAGATGTTGGCTCTGGATGTGTTTTGTTGCCATCTCTGTTAGGGGATTTCTAGATACCGAACGTTAGTCTCTCATAATTTTTTTATCTTTAGATCATTCTAGCCCCTATTCCACATCTCTGCGGGTTCGTGGCGTTGGATACAACATCATCATAAGTCAGAGCGTTTCAGGGGGATGCGCAGCTGCATAAATACGACGAAGGTGTTATTGATATCTTGGCGCCTTAGTACCACGCATTCGGATGAGGTCGTGCCAGTCTGTTGGCAACTACGACGAAGTCATCATGGTCCGCGGTTACAACTCACGACAAAGACAAGACGAATAATTGGATATTTGATAATACATAAAGTATTTACTCTCTATACGTGAGGCAACTAGAGCTCTCGGAAACTATTCGCGATCTGGATATGAGTTGGCCGAATGGAAAGATGATGAAGAGACGAAAAATTTTGGTTCGGAGAATTGACCCTTGGATTCACATCTACCCGCACTTGTCACCCGATGTCTCCATAATTCGTGACATGCATGGGTACATGCATGCACCGTATCATTTAATTCGGCTAGAAACGGTGCTACAATTTCATGGGTCAGATCACAACCAAACCAAACCACCAATCGATCAACAATTCCTATAGAGCCGCACACTATTTGAAGCACCCTCGAAAAACATCATGCACAAATGTGTGTTTATACATGTAGTATTAGAGTGCTCTTGTAGAACTGATTGGGTATATCTCTCAGTCGGTGGCTACTGTAGGTACGAGATACTTATGATGACATACTTAGCTCGATGAGGAAATTAGCTATCGTCACGAGTTGGCCCAAGCTCCCCGGTGGCTTCCTGAAACGAGACGATCTCAGCCAGATCAATGACATCAGAGTGAACCGAGACGGGAAGTAACAGTTGCTTCAAGCTGAGTCGTTTAGTATTTTAAGCTTTTTGCTGTAATCAAAAATGGGAGTCATCTCTTCTCCATCTTCTCTCTCTCTTGTCCCATACACCAATTCATAACATAAGACTTAAGTCAATTAACCAACCAAAATCATCATTACGATTTTGCAACATTGTGATTGGAACACGCCAAATACATAGATACTATCCTTAAGTGACAAGGTATCGACTGCATTTTAGTTCCAGAACGTCCTAGAAGCAACCATCGTCAGCATGACTACCACTAGATCCGGTGCAAAGTCCGAGTCGGACCCAAAGAACGACGGTGGCGAGACCGTAGGTTCCAAGCGTCAACTCGATACCAAGGTATCACCAACGTCCAAGCGCACCAAGAAGGACGACGGCGACAAGAAGCAGCAGACTATCGAAGACACCCTACCGAGGTCAGAATTTCACTATCATGGCTCAATGAGTACCAACTGCTGACTTATCTCTAGTCCTACTGAAGCTTACGGCGACGGCAAAAAGCAGCCACCAGCCAACGAGGACGAGAAAAGCGAGAACGATGGGAACAAGAAAGATGACAGCAAGAGCGGTCACAAAGAGGTCTCGGAAAAGACAGAACAGAAGGACACAGCCGAGCAAGAGGGGGCAAGAGAAGGCGTGGTTCCATCCAGCATCCTAGAGAAGGGTATCATCTACTTCTTCATTCGCGGCCGAGTGGGTATCGACGAGCCGAGCAGCGTAACCGACATCCGCCGCAGCTACATGGTCCTACGTCCGCTAGAGAAGGATGCAAAGCTTAGCGAGGGCACCATTAACGATGCTGGAAATAGCCGACTCATTGCTATCCCCAAGAAAGTGTTGCCCGTGAGCGGTAGAGATAGATGGATTGCCTTCGTGGAGAAGTCGCACACCTCGTTCAAGACGTTGAAGGATGAATTCCTCGCTGCTGAGGATTATGACACCAAGACGGCCGGTGTGCGACACTCGCCCGCTGCTACTCCTGTGGCGGAAGGCATCTACGCCATCACCAGCACCGGCCGAGAGAACCACCTTGCGTACATGATTACTTTGCCCGAAGATCTTGGCGAAGTCCAGAAGGAGATCGGATTGAAGGAGAAGGGGAGCTTCATCGTTAGCACCAGGAACCCACAGTACGAGGCTCCCAAGGGCACTGCTCTGCCACAGAGCCCGGAATATCCTCAAGAGTAAGACTTCTCATTCGTCTGGTTGAAGCACCATTACTAACGATTTCCTTTCTTCAGAATCCTCGATGGATTCAGAACTCTGCGCTGGATCGGCACTGAGCCCAAGCATCTTGACTACCCCAACACCCAATTCCTCCTGATTGGCGAATCGAGCGGTATCCAAAAGGCCACCGAGCCGCAGAAGGACCAAGGAAAGGACCAAGAGAAGCCCATCGAGGAATTGGAGAAGCTGAAAGACGAGGACACTCACCGAATGGAGGGTCTCCAGGGAGATGATTCGGAAGCCATCTTTGCCGACTTGCACGTTCGCGCTAAAGACTATCCTAAGTTGCAGACAACGTTCTAAATTTGAGAAGAAAAGTTCCACGGTATGGCGTTCACGGAAGGTAAAATTAGGGAAAAGGGGGAAAAGGAAATAAAGGGACAACAACAGATAAGATAGAATAAAAGCTCGCAGCTATCCGTGCGTCGCAAGTTTTGCAACAGTGCGAGACGGATTCTCACAGGATCCGCGGATGCCTACATAAAATGCAAACACTTTATGAGGTATTTTTGGGCGCAAATTTACCAGTGTTCCACTTCCACCACCATAATCTCATAATCTCGATTCGTCTAGTGGTTAGGATACCTGCTTGTCACTGGAAGCCGTTGGCATACCATTCGCTGGTGACTTTGGTCCTGGAAGGGCAGAATCCGCAGGTGGCCGGGGTTCAATTCCCCGATCGAGAGATTGCATCTTCTTTTGCCTGCCCGTTTGTTTCTTTTATTTTTCTGTAAATTTTTCATGAGTTTCACTTCATTTTATTATCTATTAATTTATCATTACATCTATGGGTATTCGTTTATCTACCCGAGGTAGGTTGACTCCTTGGGATACTCTACTTGGACACCGTCGAATTCGTCTGTGCTAGCGGCAGCACCGTAATCTTGGGCGTCTGCCAGACATCCCAGTCGTGCGCGAGCTGCTGGTCGCCGAAGGGCCGTAGAGCCGCGATGCGGAACTTGTACTCGCCGGGCTGGATGTTGGACCCGTTGGTGAACCGGCCGAGCCAGTAGTAGATGCCCCTCTTGGCGCGGGGCTGGAGGTGTGCTGGGAACGGGAAGACGTCGTCCTCGCTGTCGGTCCCCGGCGTGAACCATTGCGAGCTGGCCGTGCCGTTCCAGTACGTCGCCGACCCGACGAACTTGTTCTCGCCGACGACGGGAGGGTACGACCAGTCCGCTTCGGTGTAGTCGGCCTCGAATATCTACCGGACGGTTGGGTTAGCCAATGATCGCTCGCAATTCTAAGTCATAGAGTAGGTAGGTGAGAACTTACATCCCATCGGATCTCCGTCGTGCCCCAAACGAACTGGGTGAAGAGACGGGGGAAGTCCTGCGCATCGGCAGAGAGGTTGAAGGTGAAGCTAATTCATAACATGTTAGCGACATTTCTTCTTTGCTAGGATGTAACTTGTGGGCGCATTTGACTTACTTTGACTTCTGCGCGATTCTAACACCGTCGAGACCTGACATCATGTAAGGGTATAATCCGCCATAATCCCAAACGTTGGAGATGGTCTGGTTGAGGTCAGAGCCAACACCTGTTTTTTTCCATGGTCAGTATACGTTCGGGATATGCACTAATACTATGTTATGTCGACGACTCACCAAAGTAGGGAACACCAAGTTCCTCGCCGTTGGAACCGCTGATCAGGACCTTGCCACCGTAGACTGGCAGGCTGCTCGTGTTGAGTCCTTCGGGGACGGTGAAAGAGAACCTGCAATAATATTGTTAACAATCACATTCTCTTTCCAGAAATAAACCCGTGGCGAAAATACGTACTCGGCTGTCTTCGTCTCGCCGGGTCCCACAGTGAACTCTCCCTCGGGCAATGTCACTCCGGGCGTCATCTTGACGGGAAAAACATCGGGGTAGAGCTTGATCTGGGGCACGAATGACTGTGTCTTGCCGGGAACAGCCGGTACCCAGGCATCGAAGCCGCCCGCGTCCTGAAGCTCAAACTTGTACGTAACAGGCTCGCTCGCGCTATTGGTGATGTCGACGCTGTGAGTGCCAACAAAGTGCACGGTGTCGTTCAGCTCAAACTTGCGTCCGTCGAAGCTAAGCTCCGTGGTGTAGCCCAGCACGTGCTCCGCGTCGACGAATCCGGCACCGGCTTGGGCCGTGGACGCCCAGAACCCGTAGTCGGCGGTGCTCGTCGACCAGTCGGCCCACGGCACGGCGTGCGCAGTGCTCATGATCCGCGCAGTCAATTTCTTGGCCCAGGTAGGATCAGCCGCGTGCGCGGCGCGTCCGCCGAACTTGCCTACCCACAGGGCTGCCACGCCGGCGATATACGGCGTCGCCATGCTTGAGCCGCTAAGCACCTGGTACTTGTCGGTAGGGTACGTGGATAGGATCTTGGTGCCCGGCGCAATGACGTCTGGCTTCATCGCGAGGTCGTAGGTACCACCCCACGAGGTATATCTCGCCGGGCGACCAACGCCGGAATTGTACATGCCGACGTAGTGAGCAGTGTCGACGTTGAAAGAGGCCGTCACGTTGCCGCCCGCGAGGATGGTGTCAACGATTGCTTTACCAGCGCGAGCTTCGATCACTGCGACGAGACCGGTGGTATTGCGGGAATATGGAGTCTCGTACGGCCTGTCGTCGTTGTAGAACAGAACATACTGCGCGCCGAAGGCTGCGACATTGGTGTGCTGGAGTGATTGTTCGCATGATCCAACCCTAACCAGGACAATGGAGCCATTGAAGCTGGGAGTATCGGCAGGCAGTGGTTCGCAGGCGTCGTTTTCCACAGATGAGTTCAGGGTTACAGGCTTAATTGGCCAGTCGAGGATAGTGTTGGGGAAGAAGCTGCTAGCCGGGATGTAAGCGATCTGAGTCTTGTTCGACTCGCCGTCCAGGATGAAGTCTGCTGCGAAGGCTTGAGCAGGAAACGCTCCCGGTTCACCGGCACCCACGGTGAGGACATGCTTTCCTGACGCACCATTTGAGGCGTCAAACGGACCGCTTGCTCCCGCATTTCCTGTGGCGATGGAAATCACAACGCCTTGGTCGACCATCCTCGAGGCCAGCACGGCCCATGCGTTGGAGGTGAAACCGTTGTTTTCTCCAACACTAGCACTGATGATGTCGGCTCCTGACTCGAAGGCCTTGAGGAAGCCTTCCATGACGATTTCCTCGTCGGAATAGCCACTATTTCCGAAGACCTTGAAGGAAAGCAGCTTGGCGCCGGGAGCAACACCGACAAATTGCTCACTCTTGCCGACGATGATTCCGGCGACGTGAGTTCCGTGACCATAATGATCCATCGGGTCATTGTCGGGCTGGGCTGGCGTATCAGGCCATCCCCCATCACCAGCTAAATCATAGCCTCCTATAACAGTATAATTGGGACCAATGCCACCACCAAGAGCCGGGTGAGTGTACTGAACACCGCTATCGACAACTGCAACTATAGCTCCCTCGCCGATGATACCGGCTTGGTGCAATTTGTCGACACCTGTTGAACCGTGCACAGAGTAGTTGGCCGCGGTTGCGTCGTCGCTAAAGGACTCGCCCTCGGCCGCAGGTGATATGAGGCGCACCTTTGTCGACCGGTACACCGAGGCGACAACGGGGCCGTCATCTTCGTCGGCGTCGAGCGCTTCCGTAAGCGACTCGGTATTGCAGCGGCCGTCGCATTGGATGCTCACGCCCGGGAAAAGGTCCGAGTCGAACTCCTTAACGACCCGGAGTCCGGAGAGTCCCGCAACCTTCTCCACCACGCGTGCCTTTTGAGCGAGCGACTTTAATTCAACGATGAATCGCCTCGGCGTGGCCTCTTCGCCAGTCGTTGCGGTGTCGTTGACATCGCGGCGCGAGAAAGATTGGGCGCCCCACGCGGTGCTGGAGGTGCCAAGCACTAGCGCTAGGAGAGAGTTGCTCACGCGCATCTTGTCTTTGGCTGAGTTGCTAGCACGAGAGGATGTGTGCCTTGAACTCGGGAGGAGACATGATAAGATGGGAGTGAAAATCACGACTTTATATTTACTTATTTCCCACCCTCGTTACCTTCTGTCGGTACGCGACCAGATCGCCCTACGCCAAGAGGTGATAGATCTCGTATTTCGAGGTTGCATCGTGGTTACGCCCTACAATTACAAACTACCACTCCGTATAATGTGGGTTATTTAAGATGTGGGTTATGCTTCATGGGTGACCTGCCTGTCGCAGCCCGTCACGGCAAAGAACTCCCCAGGCTAGACTCCGGGGCATCGCCAGATTAGGCGAGGGATCCCGGCTTAGCGTGTCAACTGTCCCGTGATCTCATCGAATTCAGAGAAGAAATCGGAGAGTTTAGAGAGTCGGATAGCTTCATTCTAAATGAGAGAGACCTTAGCAAGGGTGAGGGGATCGTATAACAGAGTAGGCTATAACAAAATTGTGGTTTCTAAAACAGTACGAGCTCTCGACCGGGATTGGGATTGGGGTAAGTTGGGGTATGGACGGGATTGAGCTTACCTAATGCTCTGAGAATATTTAATTGCAGGCGCGATTCCCATGTTGCCGTAAAGCAGACTTAAAAATCCCATCAACTCGATTGGCGGCATGCTCTGAAAATCCATCCGCGTAGCATAACTCAAATGTTAATGGTAAACAAGAAATTTTCCAGTTCTGTCTTGGCATCAGTATCCTACATACTAAGTAGTATACCTGGTAAGTAAGGTAGGTATCTACATATGTACATAGGTCGGTTGTCAATTAGATTAGCAAGATGCTAAAAGAGCATGTTGAGTGAGGCCATACCCAATCCAACGTTACCTTCTCATATGAGCGACTGGGCGCCAAGGATATAGTGGCATTGCTATCCGGTACCTTCTACATAGTATTATATTACCATCCGACAATTTTCAGGCACATCGTCGGCGACGGACTTGCAACGCGATCCGATCGGTGCGGTGCGGATGTCATTTTCTAGCTTGCTTGGGTGGTTCGGGGACTTACGAACATTGCCAGCTAACTGTCCATCCCAAATCATACGATGCTTAGCCCACCAAAAGAATCAGCTGCATCGGCCGCCAACCTTATTGCCCTACTTCATAAAAATGTCTTCTAGCTGATCTTCACCTTGCCTTCTTAAATTCAATTTAACTTACCTAGGTATGCGAACACGTCGAAATCTGTTTGTATTATTTATCGTCGGCCTCATAAGTGCCCTATGCATGAGCCTCTTCCGATCCAGTTTCGCTATCGCGCTGAATCGCATATCTAGCTTCAGGATTTTCAGGACATATTCAACGGTCATGACGTCAGAATCGAGAAAACAGCAAGTGGTGGTTGTTGGGTCTGGCCTTGCTGGGCTTTCGGCCGCCCACGAAATCCTCAAGGCGGGGAAAGCCGTACACATGCTCGATCGCGCCCCCAGACCTGGCGGTAATAGTATCAAGGCTTCTTCGGGGATCAACGGCGCGGGTACGCGGTTTCAGCAGGCCATCGGCATTACCAAAGACGACAGCTTCTATTCAGACACAGTCCGCTCTGCCGGCGCCAAGTTCCAAGAAGGGCCCAGCGGCATTGATCGCAAGGCCCTTGTCGAGAAGTTAACAAGCCAGTCGGAAAATGCAGTCAACTGGCTTGTGGATGAGATTGGAGTTGACCTGAGCGTAGTTGCGCAACTCGGCGGACACTCGTTGGCGCGGACACACCGCGGTGCCGGCAAACTACCCCCTGGTGCTGCCAT